CACTAAATCTTTTCCATAACATCATCCCCATGGCAGAAAAAAGCTAAAAGCTATCTAAGTTAGTCCTAAAATTCAAATTGAACAAAATGTCAAGCAAAGCATTTCATTGAATTGAAACAGAGAAATCTGTCAGTTGTTGCTCTCTCATATTATTTTCTCTCTGCTAATTCTGATTTATGTATTGCTGCCAAGTTCTAATCCTCAAAATCCATTACTTCATAATGTTAACTTTAAATCAAATCCTTTTGGTTGTTTTGTATTTGAAGACTTGATTATATTGGTTGATAACACCAATGCCATTGCAAATAAATTTGATAGTTCCACTTGCAATATTCCACTTTGCAATTTTCAGTTTGGGAGCTTTATGCTATAATAAGAATACTCTCAATCTCAACTCTGATTCTAAGATCAGATATACTGGTAGAAGATGCCACTTTCATTCAGTGCTTAGTGATAAATGGAAAAAACTTAGTATTTCAGAGGATCAGATGGACCAAAGGTAGAGAGTGTAATGTGAACAAAACTAAGAATACTGTCTATTTCTTCCAGGAACCCGTCACAAGCTGGTTCACACATATATCAATCTAGGTGATATCGTGGACACTCTAGGTATGTTGTTGACCAAAGCAGTAACAAACTCAGCAACCAAGATATTTGAATAAAAATGCAAAAGAAACATCAGCTTATACAAAATAATATTAGTAAAAAACTACAGAAAATATTTTGAGTATGATTTAGATTACAACCTTTCTTGATTGAATATTATCTGTAGGTGTTGTGGAATGTGTTAAAATAAAATTGGCCCAGTGCACATTGCAAAAGAGAGGTACAATATCACAAAATGCATGATGCTTCCAGAATAAGAACCACATCCCCTTTGTTTGCAAAAATAAATGTCTCCATCTACCATGACCTATTTTATCTCATAGCTTTAATCTGATAAGTAACTGAAAAAGGCCTTCTGGGCAAGAGGCCATAATTATCATCTTAGTTTCCCTGACTCCCTCCAGCCCAGATGCTTTTGACCCACACTATAAAAGAGCTGTTTGCAAAGACTATATTTATGAGACAAATAATATTTTAAGGTTATACAAAACGCATACTATATGAATAGTAGTAAGTGGTAAAGCCTCTCTGTGTAATTTTTTTTCCACAGAGAGGTTTTAAGCACAAATGCGTAGTCATAATAAAATGGAGCTTAGAAAAATAAGAATTAAAGAGCTATTAAAATTGATAGATTCATTCTATCTTGTTTGTTCATTCTACATTCACTACTACTTTTTAATTTAGCAAAGAAAGTACTGCTATGTGTATGATTAGGAATAAATTTTGATGATCGCAGAGTATACAAGTTCACAAATAAAAACAGTTTATTTGAAGTACATAAACTATTCTCGAATCTTAGACCTACATTGGTTTTCCAATTCAAAAACCAATATACATTTTCTCATTATAATTAATAATAAGCTTCATTTTTCAAGTTAACAGAGAATCCTAAAAACACACTTACATAATGAAGGAATAAACTTGGCCTGGTAATGGGGAAAAAAATGAGTGACGGTAAAAGGTGGGGTTGGGGGTCAGAAAAGATAGCTTAGCTCCTGAGGTAGAGTAAAATACTGTAGAAGGTAAAGGTAAAGCTTTCCCCTGTGTAATCATTTCCAGCTCTAGAGGGCCAGACTCATCTCAATTTATCTACTCGCATTTTCATGGCTTTCAAATTGCTAGGTGGGCAGGAGCTGGGGGAAGTAACAGGAGCTTACTTCATCATGCGGCACTTGGATCTCAAACTATTAGCTCTCCAGCTGACAAGCTCAGCATCTTTAACCACTGAGCTATTGCGCCCCTACTGTAGAAGATAAAGTCAAACTATCCCAACTTAACGTTGTCTGGCATAAGAATAAAAAAAATCCAAAATTTAGCCCAGGATTATTATTTTTTCTGTTCCAAATCCACAGCAACATTCATTGGATGTTTTCTCTGTATTAAATTTCAGTAACTCTCACATCTGCCCAAAAATGGCCAATTCCTATTTTAGGTCAGTTTTTTAAATTAAGTAATCAATATTCTGGCCTTTAATTATTTGGGTGAGTTCATCACACCCCTCCCCAGTACGGGAATATTTATTTTGAAATGTGACAATGAGTCTTAACAGTATTTAGAACATTTACAATAGCATACTTTTGTATAGTTGAGTGAAATTATCATGATCTTGGGTTAATGATGACAGAATGCCTCCAGATTTGTACAAGATTTCTTCTATGGCTTTATTTCATTGATCAAAATCACTGGATAGATAGAATCAAGAGCTAATAGAATTCCATAGGTTGACTGAATTATTTTATATTCTTCACTCTTTGAATAGTTTTGTAATCATTCTTCAAAATAAGATGACATCAGTCTTACAATTTTCAGTTGTAACTTCTTTTTCTACAACTTCTACTTTTCTATATTGGTAGTTACATGCAAACTCCAGAACAGAACTGATATATTTTTTCAACTCACCAACATAAAATTTGCCTTGACAGAAGCTACAATGTTCAGTTAAGCAGAGAAATAAGGCCATCAGTAGAGTTGACTGTGGCTCAAATGGCTATTGCCAAGAGGCATAGTTAGGGAGGGAAAGACAGAATGTCAAAAAGAAAGAAAGAAAGAAAGAAAGAAAGAAAGAAAGAAAGAAAGAAAGAAAGAAAGAAAGAAAGAAAGAAGAACTTGAAAAGGAAAAGACTATCCTTGGAAAGTATGCTAGGGCATGCAACAAGAGAGCCAAATGAGAGACAAAGGAGCAGATTTAGGATATAAGGCACTTATGTCTCCTCCAATAAATTGACATAATTCAAAGGGACTGGATTGGTACTAATTAATTATATCTTTCATGCAACATTTTATGTGAAAAATATTCTAATGCACACAATATACCTAGGATCATATCACATGCTTAAATGACACTCACCATTTATAAGATTGGAAAGAATATTAAATTAAGCTTAAAGAAATATGTTGCTGACAAGTAACTTCCGAGATGAATGACCAATTGCCACGATCCAATTACTCACAAAGATATCTAGCACTTCCTGTAAAGATCATAACTTTGTAATAAATATGAATTTATTTTGCTAGCATCAGATATCATGAAGTGGCATTTAGCAAAATATTATCCTGAATTCAGCTTTTAGTAAAAGACATTAGCCAAACAGCAGTTTCTGCATATAGAATTCCAGAGATAAATATATTGTGAAGCATAGTTGTACTTCAGCATAAACAATTCCAAAAACATTGTATATGAAAGTACTCTTGCATACATACACATAAATACTAATAGTTTAATATCTTCCAAATAAGTTATTACTATTTGTTTGCTTGATATAAGTCTGTACATTTAACAGTCTAGTTAAATTCTAGTTTATATGTTTTCACAAAATGCAAAAGCAAATGGCAAAATATCAAACAAGAATAGTTGAACTTCATAGCTGATACTATTAAAACTTCTTTCACTAACACTATGTCAGTTGAACTTCACAATCAGGGGTGTCAAACTCTCAGCCCGGGGGATGGATGCATCACATGCTGGACACTCCCATCCCCATTTTAGTGAAGGGGAAAAAAGTTGTGATTCATCACGTGACCACATGTCATCACGAGTGTGACACCCCTGCTATAAGTAGTCCTCAACTTACAATCATTCATTTAACGGCTGTTCAAAGTTACAATGGCACAGAAAAAGTGACTTATGACCATTTTTCACACTTACGGCTGTTGCAGCATCCTCCTGGTCACAAAATCAAAATTTTGGCACTTGGCAACTGGCATTTATGTGATCATCATTTGTGAACTTCAGACAAGCAAAGTAAATGGGGAATCCAGAGTCACTTAACAACTGTGTTGCTAACTTAAAAATCACAGTTATTCACTTAACAACTGTGACAAGAAAGACCATGAAAGCTCACATAACTGTCTTATTTAGCAGTGGAATTTTTTGGCTTAATTGTGGTCAAGGACTACCTGTATGATACTTTAGAACATTATTAATATGAAAAGACACCTCTGACCTTATACTTTAAAAAATGCTGCTTTGATAGCCTTGAGAAGCAAAAGGGTTGGATGGTATGTAGAAATGAGCTACCCACTGCCCTGACTTTTATAACCTTAGGATAAAAATAAAAGAGTAAAAGATTTGTTTTGATTTTTCATTATTCCTCATGGCCATTAGCCCTTCAAGCTGTCTAGACAAGAAGCATCAACTGTGAATACTAGCTCTGTCTGTATTGTAAAGTTACATTAACAGGATCTTGCAAGTCTGAAAATATTTCTTTTTACTCTCTAGAAAACCAGGGTGGGTCACTTCTGAAATGGTTCACAGGTCCCCTCTTCCTTTGGAAGCTGAAATAGCTCTTGCATGATTATTGTCTGGTCTGTGGTTCTTCCTCTGGTCTCCCAAAAATCATTCCCACATACCATTACAATGGCAGAGTGCTCAAAATAGTTTTAGAGCCCTCTCCCCTTGAACTAAGGTTATTTTGCCATGATCCCTTTGCAATAATTTCTAATTTCTACCCAGTGCTCATTCTGTAGAAATTCAGCTATGCATTTATATCTATGCTATTCTTCTTTTGGAACGCAGTGACTCAGTGGCTAAGACGCTTGTCGATCAGAAAGTTCAGCAATTCGAATCCCTAGTGCCATGTAATGGAGAGAGCTCCCGGTTACTTGTCCCAGCTTCTGACAACCTAGCAGTTTGAAAGCATGTAAAAATGCAAGTAGAAAAGTAGGGACCACTTTTGGTGGGAAGGTAACAGGGTTCCGCGTGCCTTCCTTGTTTAGTCATGCTGGCCACATGACCACAGAGACGTCTTCGGACAGCACTGGCTCTTCGGCTTTGAAATGGAGATGAGTACCACCCCCTAGAGTCGGGAATGACTAGCACAAATGTACGAGGGAAACCTTTACCTTTAGTTTTTATTTTTAATTATGTAAATGAAATTTATTTTTATTCTTCGTACCTTGAATATTTTGTACATGATCTCATATACAGAAAATGTTCTTTCAGCTCGGGTCCAGTCCCACGTTGTAACCTTGAATAAAAATGTACACAAAAACTAATTACACTTATTTTTCATACAATTTTGAAAAGCAATTCTACCAACCCACCTACACCTGTATACGCAATGAGATGGCAAGAAAGAATGCTATGATTTATGGAAAAAACAGTATTTATTTGCATAGCTATCTAATGTGAATTATTTCTGGCTATGAATGTACCATTCTTGGAAGTTAGTACATAGAAAGAGAGCTATTTTTAAGTTGCTCCTGATGAAAATGGAAGGACTGCAAAAGGAGGAAGACTTTATTTATAAATATAAATTAAATTAGTAGGATCTATTTTCAGATTAGTTTTCCATTAAAGCTGTACTTACAAATCATTTCCCATTATTGCTACCATTATTGACTTTTCACCATTAGTATCTTTTCTTTGTCATCCTTTCATACTTTTTTTCTGATACAATATTGAATGAAACCCCCTGAATTAACATATAACCGCCAAATCAATGCATGTACACCTCCAATCTGTACATGTAACTATAAAGCAAGGTATAGAAGGATACTTACTGGAGGTGCTAAAAATTTATAAAGTGAAGAACCCCTTAGTGCAAGAAACTTTGGTGTGTACATTCGGTCCTGAAGAGAATCTTGTTCCCGTTCCTCAGTCCAGCCCATGTAGACTATCTGGCATAAAAAAACAGCATATTTTTACTTTCTACAGATTATCATTTATATAAAAGACACATACATTGAATATTCAAGAGGACTAAAAGATTATTTACATAATAATACAGAAATTGGAGATTCATTGGATAAAATCAGATCTTGTGAAAATCCCCAACTGTGCATACAATATATGATGATGAATGAACAGACTTGTGCTATATCAGTAAGTAATCACATTCTGAATTTGCATCAGCTTTGTTTGTAAATATACAGAGATTAGTGGCATTTTCACCAGAAGAAAAAAAAGAAAAAGGAAAATAAATAAGTATGCTTGTTTATATGGGATGATGCCATGAGGATGAAGTTGCAATAAATATTGTTAGATGGGATTTAAATTACCACTATGTGATTCTTGCAAAGGTGACAACTTTGTTATAGGAAACCACTATTGACTACTTTACATTTGTCATTCATCAAGTTGTTAAATGATAATAACCCTTTAAGTACCTATTAACCTTGTAATGAAAATTGAATCTGCTTCTCAGTCTTGAGCAAGGCATTTTGACCCAGTATATAAAAGTAAAATTAAACATGAATGATTAAAAACACAGTAGTAAGAAATGCTCATTTAAGTAGGCTTTCTTGAAAGAGCTTATGATACTTGATAAAGATTCTAATACTGTCCATCAGAAAACAGAACAAAGCAATGTATTCTGTATAAATTCAATGATATTTCGTACAGGACGTTTCCCCAGTACTAAAGCATTCATGAAACTTAACAGCAATTGCCTTTGGAACATTTTCTCCTTGTCTGCCTATATCGTGAGATTAGAGCGATTTTACACACAACCCATTCTTTGGTTAAAGATTTATAAACATAAAAAGGCACTTCTGATTCAGACTGCATAACTGCAGTCAAATTATTAATGCAAAATACCAGAAACAGTATTCATTTGCTTCCTTCCTAAAGCAAGAATTCAAATGAGGAATTTAATCCTATACATTTGGTTTAGCTTCTGCTGCTATTCCATAATAAAATTCATATTGTTGCTACTCAAGGCAAAGTTTCTGTAAAATTACTTCGAAATGATGAAGCACAGTTTTTAAAAAGTCGTAGGATGATCTTACAATACTAAAATATAATCTGAGAGGATTATAAACCAGATTGTGAAATGAATGTGGAATATTGAACACAGGCATAGTTACTACTCCATCAATACTATTAAGGTTCGGGTGGTCCCTAACCCTTTCATCCTCCACCAAAATTGACTATCTTTTATTTTTTTAATTTTTCCATTCTGAGTCACCCAAAAAGTTTCTTATGCTGGCAACTTCCATCATAGAATAATTCCATCTCTAAATTTATACATTACAGTTAAAAAAGCCCTCTTGTCAAACTTCTGGCTTGATGTTTTGATCCTTGTATTTGTGATTCACATTAATTTTGCCTTTTATTAAAATGATGAATTTCACTTACAGTGATGCATCATGTCATATCAAGAAATTAATGTTAGTATGATGCTACCTAGGTATATCAGTGGTGGGATTCAATTTTTTTTACTACCGGTTCTGTGGGAATGGCTTGGTAGGTGTGGCATGGCTTGGTTGACAGGGGAAGGATACTGTAAAATCTCCATTCCCTCCCCACTCCAGGGGAAAAATACTGCAAAATCCCAATTTCTTCCCGATCAGCTGGGACTCAGGAGGCAGAGAATAGATGGGGGTGGGGCCAATCGGAGGTGGTATTTACCGGTTTTCTGAACTACTCAAAATTTCTGCTACCGGTTCTCCAGAACTGGTCAGAACCTGCTGAATAGCCCTCTGAGGTATATGGATTACTACAGTTGGTCACACAGTCAGCCAAATGTTTAGATTGCCTTTGGTATTTGTATCCATCTATCGACTCATTCCCAAGGATGTGTTCCAAGTGACGCTTCCTTTTGCAATTAATTGGTGTCATTTTGTCACAATGCCAATGGTGTGTTCTGACCTACGCTTCCTGATACAATAAAAAGCCCACAATTAGGTCCAATAATCCTCTTTTTATATTATGAATGAATTATATTCATTCACAGCCGGTAATGAGTCCCAAGTAGTTAGAAAGAGTTCTACAGGAAGCTGCCCAAGTCCTTTGGAATAAGGCTGATAAGCACCCACCTTTATCTTCTTTATCAACGCTGCCAAAGACTTAATTAGCTATTAGCTTGGCAAGGCCACATGGAGCAAAGAGTCCAAATGGAGTTTCAGAAGGTAAACTGGCCAGCATGAACCAAGTTGCTTCCTGCAAAGGCTCATGTGACTTTGCTCCTCCTTTATGTCCTATGGGAGGGGCCAATCACCTTCAAACCTTACTCCTGAGTTGTCCCTTCTGTTTGTTTTAACTGTTCTTGCCTTATGGCAGCTCTGCGTATGGGAACAGGGGAGCCTGTTCCTCTGCCTCACTGGTGTCCGACTCTGGAGACTTCAGAGGCAGCACACAATTCCCAGATGGCCCTAACTCCCTCTCTACCTCCGACACAGAGCTATCATCCCAATCTTCCCCAGACTCCAGGACTAGCCCCTATTCCTCCCCAACCTCCTTGCTGTCTGACTCTGCTGCCAGCTCTGCAGGCCACTGGCGGACCACAACATGGTGTTCAAGTGGTGCTCCAGATGGTATGGAATTATACTCAAGGTGTTTTATACTATTAGTACTCACTTTACTTTTCTTTGCTACAAGCATTCTACTTCTATTTACATATCTTTATACTTTGTGGTTTTTCTCCAGTTCTCTCTCTTCTATTCTGATGTCTCCAGGTACCACCATGTCTACTATCCAGACTTTTTTGTCTTATCAACAATTACTGGGTCTGGAATAGGTGGCATAGATGGCGCTGGGACTTTAAAGTCCTGCCACCGGGGCCCTGCCGCCACTTTAAAGCCCTACCGCCACATCCCGGCGCCGTCCGCCATAGAGCAGAACCGCTCTATGGCGGACG